ACACGGGGGACGCCTGCCTCCCTCCCAGCTCCCCGGCCAGGGCGGCGGGGGCGGCACCAGGAACTCAGGGGCCAGCCGTGGCCCCTGCTGCTGGCGCGTCCCTGTCACAGGAGCAGCGGCTGGGTTTCATCGATGAGTCGCACAGACACAGCGCCAGCCCTGGGCCGGCGGAGAGAAGCAGCCTGCAGCCCCGTGCCCAGGCCCAGGCCCAGGCCCGCCGAGCTCACGCCTGGAAGACAGACGCTGGGCCCAGACGGGGCAGGTGCGGCAGGCACGGCGTCCTCGCCCGGAAAACTGCCCTCTGCGCCAGCCAGTAACCCAGGGGACACCAAGGCTCCAAGCTGCCGCACGGCTCAGGGCGCCCAGCCCTGAGGCTGGGGGCCGGTAGGCCTGACCCCTGGTCCTGCTGGTCTGCAGGACTCCGACGCCTCTCTGGGGGGCAGTTCTGCCCTCCCCCGCCCCCCACTCACTCACAGGGGCTCCACCGGGCAGCCTTGAACTCGGAGTGTCTGCACTGGTGCCCGAAACTCATTCAAGCCCCAGGGCAGGTTATATTTTATAGTAGCCACATTAAACGAAGGAAAAACAAACAAGTTAAACTAATTGTAATCACACTGTTTATTTAAGTCAATATTTAAAAAATGTTATCATTGCAGCCCTGGCTGGTGCGCCTCGCAGCACCAGCCTGCGAACCAAAGGGTCACAGGTTCAATTCCCACTCGGGGCACATACCTGGATTGTGGGCCAGCTCCCCAGTAGGGGGCGCACAAGAGGCAGCCACACATTGATGCTTCCTTTTCTCCCTCTCTTGAAAAAATGAATACAATGTAAAAACTACCATTTCAACATGTGATCGATACAGGGATCACTGGTGAGAAACGTCACGCTCTTTGCGTGCATGCTAAGGCCCAGTCCGCCGCAGCCCCGCCTCCGATGCCGCCACTGGAGGCCCCCGCTCGGGACCGTCCCGCTCTCGCCTGTGTTTCCTGAGGCCACCAAGCACCCCGTGTCGTAGGTCACCATCCAGAAAATGTCTAGGTCGATCATGGGCTATGTTATGTGCCGCTTCTGTGTGTGTTTTCAGAAGATGAGCGAAAACCACTCGCTGAGGTGCTGCAGACTCCGAGAAGCCTCCTTGCCTGCTGGTGGGCGTCTCCTCTCTGGGCGGCCTGAGCCCTAATGGTGGGGGCCCCGGGCGCCCGGAGACGGTGCCTTAATTAGCACCCACCCCGCGCGTTTGATCTCCGGCAGCGGGGCCCACGCTGAGGCTGCTCCTGGGCTGACTGCCCTGAGCCCAGAGAGCCGAGCCCAGAGAGCCTCGCCCGGAGGCAGAGGGGGCCGGGTCGGCTCATCGGCACAAACTGCCCTGAAACTGCCGGGCACCGGTGCGGGCCTGGGCTTGGGCGCCCTGCTGGCCCCCACCTGCACGACCCAGGTGCCGGCAGCGGGGCAGCTGTGCCCTGCCTTGGGTCACAAAGGCGCCACCCCTGTGCACGTGCGTATGAGCCCGTGCACACAAGCGTGTGCACTGCTGGGGGGCAGCCTTGCGTGCAGGGTTATTGGTCCCCCATTTTCCAGATGAGAGAACTGAGACTCGGGCAGCCCATGGACAAACATGCCAACAAGGTCGAGGGGCAGAGGGCAGCCAGGCCTGGGTGTGGCCCTCCCCATGCCCCGGGCCCCTGGGACTGGGGATCAGGTGGGCGTGGGCTCCAGGGCTCCTGGCAGGACTGCCTGTGGCCACGCCGCCCCCCCCCCGCACTCCCGTCTGTGAGCTGCAGGGCAGATGCCCCCCGAGGGCCCTCAGAGCCTCCCCAGAGCCTGTTGGGGGCACAGGAGCCGCTGCCCGCCTGGCATGGCGTCTCATCAGCCCTGGGACCCTCTCTGAAGTGGGTGTCAGGGCCAACGTCGGCACACGCCACAGGAAGTGCCGGGCCACAACAGCCCTCCGCAGAGGCTCACTGCCTCCCTCCAGCCCCGCGTGGCTCTGAGCAAGGGACTGGGCCCTTCCTGCCCCTCCTTGGGCACCCGGAGCGGATGCCCAGCCAGTCACCTCAGCGGCGTGGTGGCTGGCCCCTGTCTCCACTTATTTGGAGCCTCTGACTCACCTTGACTGTGGACCCGTGGGCACCTAAGGCAAGGTGGGGACACCCAGAAGCAGCAGCTCCAGCGGGCGACTGGACCTCCCCGGAGGCCTGGCACACCTCCACCTCCCACCAGCCAGCGTCTCCCCATCCTGGAGATGCCCCCCGAGGCCCCTCCTGCCGCCAGGGGCCCTCCATCTGGCCTCCCCTGACGCCTGCCTGTGGCCAGGGGTTTCCTGCTGGCGGAGACCCAGGGGCCCTAGGCCCTGCCCGGCCCCCCGCCCACAGGGCCTGCAACAGTGCCAGAGCCTCCTGGGCCTGCAGTATATTTAGCCTCATTATCAAATGTTTGCAGCGATCCGTGTGAACCTAATAGCGCTGGAAGGGAAGCTGGATTCCGGGCAGGAGGCAGCACGTGACCACGCCTGAGCGGCCGGGAACGGCCGGAGGGCTGGGCAGGTGCGGTGCCCCCAAGGGCCAGGCCCCAGGCGGCGGGGAAGGGCCCCTCTGGGCCGAGCGCCCCGCAGCCGCCGACTCCCGCAGCCCCGCCTCCAGGGGCCGAAGTGAGGGCGCTGGAGCCCGAGTGGGCGGGGCGTTGAGGAGGCTCGGGGTCCGGAGAGCAGCCCCGCGGGAGTGGTTGGTTCTCACCCAAGTAGGTGACCTCTCGGTCCAGTTAGTTCAATGGTCTCCATTTCCCGTTCTCGTGAACACAGCCTCTGCCAGTTTCTTCCGAGGACGGGGCGGGGTGGGCTGCGTCGGGGGTCCCCGTCCCACCGCAGGGCGGCCTCGGTGCTACAACCCGCCCTGGCGCCCCGAGTCCCCCCAGGGCGGCTGTCGCGCGGCTGCAGAAGTTTTTGCCACCCTCGCGCAGTCGCTGTTGTCGTGGTCGCTATGACGACGCGGCGTGGTTTTATTTTTAATAGCGGCCCGCGATTAGAGGGAGGGAGGTCGGCGCTCGCCCCGCAGCTCTCCAGTGCGGGGCGGGGGCGGGGTGCACCAGGCTCAGCCCCTGCTCCCGGCACCCCTTCTGTGTCCCCAGACCTCGCCGCCGCCTCACACTCGAACTGGGCGCCCCTGGAGTGCCGGACCACTCAAAGGCAGCGGGGACCCCCAGGAGCCGGGGCATCTGTGCAGAGGCTGGAGGGACGTCTGAAACACGGCGGCTGCTCCTCCTGTCCCCACACAGGCCAGGGAGCCGCATCCTTCACCCCCAGAGAAAGGCCCCCGGGGCCCCTCTGCCCGCGAGGAACCCGACGCCCGGCCAGACGGCGTGGCCACGCTCCCAGGGGCAGGCCGCAGCTCCTGCCGGCTCCGGCCGCAGTCCTGGCTGTGTGTGCCTGGCAGCCTTCCAGCAGCTTCCAGGGGTCCCTCTCCGAAGCAACAGAGGGTCCCACCGGGACACTCAAGGAGCGGCTTTCACGGGCTCCTAAACGTTCCCGAGTTTTCCCCAGTCCTCCCTCCTGACCCCCAAGGGCCTTCAGGGTCGCTGCCGCTGCGGGAGACGGCAGCGGGTGGAGGGCTGTGCCGGGGCCTGCAGCCTGAGGTTTTCTGGGAAGCGCAGGAGCTCCCCGCCCCCAGCGACCCGGGGGGCAGGCAGGCGCCCTGAAGCCCCTGCCGACCCTGCCTTTGAAATGCCAAGGGCGCTCACCCAGGATGAAAGAGGGCAGGTGGGGCCCGGCGCCTCCACTGCCTTTGTCTGGTGGGTGCGTCTGGGTTGGAGGACTGGGGGGCCTGACTTTCCACCCCAGCCTACCGTGGCGGGGCAGTGGGGTACATTTCTAGCCTCCAGTGGCCTTGGCCTTCTAGCTCTGGGGTCGCTTCTCCCATCACTACTGCAGCTCTGGTCCCGGGAACTCGTCCACCCACTCAAGGGGTGAACACCGGAGAGCCACAGGGCCCGACACTGGGGTCTTGTCACACCTGGTGTGGGCGGGCGGAATCCACCCGGACCCGGTGTACCCGCCCTTCCGTGTCGGGGAGCCGTCCAGACACGTGCAGGCCTCCAGCTGGCCTCTGGTCCTGCCTCCGCCTCGCGCTCTGTGTCGCGCCTTGGCGGGAGATGGCGCTCTGAGCGCCCCGCGGATCCCGGAGCCCGAGGCTCTCACTCCCGGGGCTCCTCGCCAGCGGCTCCTTTCTTTTCGTTCCCTACCACCCCATCGAGGAACCGGCTCAGGCCGAAACCGGTCCTTTCCCGAAGGAGTGAGCACTCGGGGGACAAAGGCCCCCAGGGCGGGGAGGCGGCCCCCTACGGCCCCGGGCGCTCTCCTATCTCGGAATGTGCGGTGGAGGTTCCTCGTCCAGGCGCCCCAGGCATCGTGCCGTGGGCGGGGGCGCGTGGCAGCCGCCAGGTGAGTGCCCCAGAAGCGCCGCTCGGCCCGCCCCACCACTCACCAGAGCCTCACTCCCCCTCCTTTTATGGAGAGGGGGGGAGGCTGGGGCCCTGGATCCCGACCGCCGAAAGAGGCCCGAGAGCCGCGGCGGGGGGGCGGGGGGGCGGGGGGGCGGGGGGGCCGGCCTGCTTTTGCCCTTTTTGGCGTCGCAGCTCTGGGCGCTGCCCTCTGCTGCCGCTGGGGCCCGAGAGGCGAGTCGGCTTCTGCGGCGGCCCCTCCCCTGCCCGTCCGGTGCCGCAGGACTGCAGCTGGCTGGCACGGGAGGGTGGGCAAGCTCGAGGGAGGGGCGCGCGGAGCCCCGGCTGGGCGGCTGTGCTCGGAACCGGGCGTGAGGCGTGGATGGATTTCACTGCCCGCGTGATCGCGTGTGTGTGCTCGCGGCAGCGGCCGGGCCCTGCCCGGCCCGTGCGGCCCCCGCGCGCTTCCGAGGTGCGGGTCCCGGGCCCGGAATCCGGGGGAGGCGATAGGGAGGGGGCGGGGGAGGGGCACGGCGGCGGCGCTATAACCCCCTCCCCGCCGCCGGCCAGCTCCACACGCGCGTCCCGAGGAGCCCGTACAACTCCGGCGAGCTGGGCCTGCCCGCGCCTGTTCCCCTGCCGGCGGCGCGGCGGCGCCGGCCCGGTCCTGTGCCCGCCTGCAGGCCCGCGTGGCGAGGCTACGGGCGGCGGCGGCTGCCAGTCGGCGCGGCCGCGGGTGCTGCCTGGCTCTGGCCGGCGGAGGGCGGAGCGAGGGCGCGCCGCGGAGGGCGCACGCAGGCCGCCGGGCCGCGCCGTGCTGGGCCGCGCCGTGCCCGGCCTGGCGGCGGCGGCGGCAGCTGCGAGAAAAGGCCGGAGGCGAGCGCGGGGCCGGCGGTGGGCGCGCAGGGCCGCTCGCAGCCTGCAGGGAGAGCGCGAGCCCGAGGCCAGGGCCTGGCCGGGCGTCCAGACAGGTGATGGTTGGTGGTGGTGGTGGTGCGGCGGCGGCTCCAGCCTCGCTCCCGGCTCTCTCTCGGGGCTGACGCCCGCAAACGTGCTGAATTACCGGCCAGGTCGCTCCTAAAGCCTGCGCCTGGGAGCGAGCGCGGCGGCAGCCCGCACCAGGAACCCACCAAGGAAGAGGCCCAGCCCCCGCCCTCCTCCCCTTCCGTCCCCACCCCCTACCCGGCGGCCCAGGAGGCTCCCGGCGCGACGGGTGCGGCGGGCGCGCACTCCCTGCTCCTCCTCCTGGTTGGCGCTGCCTGCCTCTCTGCACTCGTTGCTCGCGCCGGGCGCGCTCCACCGGCTCGCTGCTCTCCGCGCCACCCTCCTCCGGGCCGCGCTCCCTGAGGGATGGTACTGAATTTCGCCAGCACAGGAGCCCGGCTGGAGTGCCCGCCCCGCGGCCTCGCCTCCTCGCCGAGCCGCCAGCGCCTCGGGACGCGATGAGGACCTGGGCTTGCCTGCTGCTTCTCGGCTGCGGATACCTCGCCCATGCCCTCGCCGAGGTGGGTGCCATCCCCGCGCCCTGTCCCCTCTCCGGCTGCCCGGGCGCACGCCCCCTGCGGCCCCCGGAGGCCCCGCGAGGGCCGGGGCGCCCAGGGCTCAGGCTCTGCAGAACGCGTTTTGATTTCTGTGAGGATGGCCGGTTTTTAAATTTTCCCAACTGGGTTCTATTTTCTGCCATGCCCAAGTGTGTCTGGTGAGTTTCCAGCGTGTTGCGTCGCTCTGCCGAGCAGGGACGGAGTGGTGGCGGGGTGGACGAGTGGGGAGAAACTTCGGGGGGCGCGGGCTCTCTCCGGGGAGTGAACCCGGGCGCGGTCGGCAATGCAGTACCGGGGGCGGGGAGCGCGGAAGGGGGTGTGTGTGTGAGCCGGTGGAGCCCGGGGAGGGGAAGAGCGGCAGATAAACAGGTAGGGGCCCCTGGCAGCCGGGGTGGGCAGCGCGGAGCCGCAGCTTTGGGAACCCAGTCCCCAAACCCGGCTGGGCTGCTGGGCCGGCGCAGTCCCGCCCGCCTGGGGCCTGCTTACAGGTGGCTGAGCGAGGCGAGCCGGGCCGGGCAGGCGCCCGGGCCCTTCCGCCGCCCCGTCCCCTCCCCCTCGCCCCCCATCTCAAATCCCGAATCCCCGGGAGCTCGTAGTGATGAATGGCTTTCTACACTCCCCGTCTTGGGAACTTAGGGCCGGAGACCCCTAAGCGACCTCCGACTGCCTTTAAAAATCGAGAGGGACTGGGGGGAGGCCGAGTGGAGGGGGTTGCTTGGGCAGGGACCCGGGAGCCGCGAAAGGTAGACATTTAACCCTCGCATTCCCTGCAGCCGCTGGCTGGGTTCGGGGCGTCCCTTCGGCGCTAGGGCCGCGGCTGGGCCGGAGCGGGGTGGGGCGCCTGTGGGTGTGAGTGTGTGCGCGCGCGCGCCTGTTTGTGAGGCGGAGAGACCCTCTCCCCGCAGGCTCGCCCGGGATCCCGGGGTGTGGAATTCAAGCCCCTGGCTAGATTAAAGTGTTAGGGCTGCCGTGACTTTCGCCGCCGATCCGTGACGCATTTCAACTTGGTCTTTCTGCATGTTGATTTCACTATTAAATCAGAAACTCCCCGGGCCCTTCGCCGCCCCCAGTAGCGGACACCCGAGGCTGCGGGGCTGGGGTGGGGGCCTTTTGTCGGAAGATTTAAAGGTGGGGCGGACTTCTTTTTTCTCGCAAAGAGCAGACATGGATGGGGGCACGATTTGGGGTCTCGCTCCACCTCACTCCCAGCCTCTGGCTCCGTAGCCCGGGCGGGGGCGGGGGTTGGGGTTGGGGGAGCCTGGCGTGCTGGGTGCCTAAACCGCTGCTGCGGGTCACCTCTGGCGGGGGACTCGCACTTTGGAGGGGGGAGGGAGGCGCGAGCCGGCGCGGCCGGGGTCGTGGGCGCTGACCGTGTGGTTCTGCTTGCAGGAAGCCGAGATCCCCCGCGAGGTAATTGAGAGACTGGCGCACAGTCAGATCCACAGCATCCGGGACCTCCAGCGACTCCTGGAGATAGACTCCGTAGGTAAATCGCGCCCCTTCCCTCGCGCGCACGGGGTGGGCGCGGGCCGGGCGCGGGCCGGGCGGGGAGTGCGCTCCGCGCCCCTCCTGCGCTGGGGCCGGGCTCGCGCTGGAGCGCACCGAAAGGTCAGAATCCAATCCCGGGCCATAAAAGCCCAGGCGGATGAGTCAGGAGTTTCTCTTCCAATCACCACTTTCTCTCTCCGCGGCGGCCAGGGCTGCTTGCTAGCCCCGAGATTGTTTTTGCGTTTAAGGAATATGCCTCGCATGTCACAGAAAGTTCAGCCGCATAGAGGGCGCCGGTGCCCCGGCCAGGTGCGCCCGCCCGAGGCCTGCCCTCCGGCCGGGGGAGGGGCGGGGGCGGTGCCAGGCCCTGGGCGCAGAGCCGGGGAGGTGGGCGGGCTCGCGGGAGGGGCGCGGGTTGTGCGCCCCCCTCCCTGTCAGCGCCTCTGCATCCGCGGGAACTCGCTCCTTTCTGGTTGCTGGAGGCGCGCTCTTCCCAGTTTTCACCCGCCGATTGCAAGGCGCGCCTTGGACGCATCTGCTGTGTGGGGACTATTTCGGGGCTCGCCCTCAGCCCCTGGAGCCCAGCCACTTCACACAAGTTTATTTGTGAAGCAGAGTGTGGAAGCCCTGGAGTGCCTGCCACAGAGGTCGTCGGCACCGAGTGGGCAGAGGTCGTGGGGGCCCAGGGCGGCACGCTGGGTGTCGGGTGGCTTTGCTGGGTGTGGACCGGAGAGAGCCCCTTCCAGGAGGAGCACGTGAACTCTGACCCACGTGTGTGTAGCGTGGGAACTCGGATGTCGGCGTTGACCGGGAAACACCCCTGTCAGAAACGTTACTATTGACCGGTGCAAAGAGGCCCCAAAATGAACTTGTCCCTGGAAGGTGGCGGGGCGGGACCGGCAGCCCAGAGATTTCTCACTGCAAACTACCCTGCCCAAGGCGTGGGGGTGGGGCGATTAAGGGAAATCACAAGGCCTGGCCACGTGGGAGTTCGTACCTGATTGTGGTGGGGGGGAGGCCAGCGCTGTTTTCATTCCTTGCAAGACCACCTTCCAAGGAGGCCGTGGCCGCCGCGTCTGTGGTTTCTTGACCCAGGAAATCCTCTGGCTGATCCTTATCGGGCAGGGTCGGGTTTCACTGGGAGATGGGAGTGGGGCGGGGTTTCCATCTAACCCCTTGATGTGCAGCCCTGGGGAGGGGGGTTTGTTGGGGGAGCCAGGAGGGCGCTGGCTTGCATCCTGCAGGTCCCTGTGGATTTGGGGGTGAGGGGAGACAGCCCCCCAGGGACGGGCCCACAGTAGTGAGGCCTGTGAAGAGCGCGCACGCCCCCCCCCCCCCGCAGGAAGGCTCTGGGAGCCAGCGGGAAATGGGCCATCGGCTCTCTGCTGGGACCATTCTTATTCTGGTCTCTGCAGGCCCGCCCCCCCCAGCCCCCACCGTCGGGTCCGCAGCGTTGGAGCTCCCTCAGGGAGGAGCTGCAGGGACGGTTGGTACTCCTGGCCCGGGGCTTCTGGGCCCAGGGCCTCCTTGGGAGGTGAGGGGTCACGCCAGCCGCTTCTCAGCTGGTTTCAAATTGCCCCTCGTAAACAGCCCCCCCCGGAGCTCGCCTCCCTCCCGCCCCAGGGAGCGGGAGCGCAGGTCACCTGCCGAGTCTGCCTGTCAGAGGTGCTGGGGCCGGGTGCTTGGGAGAGCCGGGGAGGGCCTCCCTGGCTCACCAGCGTGCCCCCAGGGGGTGCTTTGTGACACAGACACACCGAGGTATTTGCCGCGGCCCCCTCCGCCTTTGCAGACTCGCAGACGTGGAAGCTGAACACCAGAGGAGGCCCGGTCTCTGGCCTGAGCGAGGGAGTTGCACCTGTTGCCTCCAGAGCTTGCCTCGGGGAGGCCCTCCCCCAGCCCCTGTTCCCGCCCCAGGCGGGGAGTTCAACCCAGCGGGTTGGCGGGGAAGGCAGTGGCAGCTGTGGGGTATCCAGCTGCCCTCCAGACCCTGGACTGCCCCCCCCAGGCCCTGGTGTGTGCAGGCCGGTCTGTCCGGGCTCAGTGAGGATGGGCTGGGTGCTGAGCAACCCACTGTTGCCTTTGTAAGTCCAGGGGGGGCCCCTGCAGGTGGACCCCAGCGGGAGGCCAAAGCCCAGGAAGCAGGAAAGAGGCTTTTCAAACAGTGGCATCCCCTCGTGTGGGCGGGGCTTCGTGGTTGGCAGGAGGGGTCCTGGACCGCATCCCCGTATCCTCCTCGGTGAGAAACGGCTCGCGAGCTCACAGACCCTGCGGTGTGGCTGGGTTCCCGCCGCAGGGGAGTGTGTGCCGGGGTGAAAGGGGCGTGGCTTTCCACGGGCCGTGGAGTCGGGGCCTGTTCGTCCAGCGAGAGGAGAGCAAGCCCTTCCTCGCGGCGGCCGCTGGCCGCGGGGGCTTGGTCCACCCAGATGTCTGGCTCGGGGCCTGCGGGTCATTGAGTAACCGATGCACAGATGCCCCATAAATATCCCTTCGCGAGCCGTGGACGCTCACCAGGACTGCTGGCAGCAGGACCTCTGGCCGGCAGGCAGTCACGTGGACCTCTGCGGAGGCGGCACAGCGAAGCCACTCGGCCAGCTGTCCCCAGAGCCGCCGTGGGGGTACTGGCCGGTCTCCTGGACGTGCCGCCGGCCAGCGTGAGGGGGGCTGCTTCCGGCCGGCACAGGCTGGCCGGTGTGCTGACCATCCGTGTCGACCGGGGGCAGAGGGTGGGCTTGTTTGACCAGAAGCTGTTTCTGCTGTCTGGTCTCCAGAGCCGGTTCACGTTCCAGCCGTGGACGGACTGGGAGTCCCATTATCGTCTCTGTTTGCAGGGCGGGAGGAGGCCGGGCGGGAGCGCGGCCGAGCTGGACACACGGCCCGCCCCAGCTCGCGCCCCCCCTCGTGGGCCTTGGCCTCGGTTTCCTCGGACTCGGCGTACCCGGGGGCCGGGGGCCGGGGGGGCGACACCGGGGGGGGAGTCCGGTCTCTGGGTTTCCCCTTAGAGGTCTGAGCAGCCGCCCTTTGGCGTGGCGGCAGCAAGATGGCCCGGACCAGGACGTGACTCATGAATGTCGCCTTCTCGTGAAAAGTGCTTCTTGTGACAGTTGGTGGATGGGACGTTCTCACTGCATGAGTAGCTCTGTTCTGATCTTATTTTGGGCCTCGAGAACACAGTGGCAGCGGAACATTGAGTCATGTTGAGGGAAAAGTTGGGCTCCGCTCCGGCTTCTGAAACGGCGTGGCCTTTGCCGTCTGTGGTTTTCCTCTAGAGCCCGCGGGCATTTCCCGGGGGCCGGTGGGGCGGGGCCCGGTCACCCCCGGTGTGGGAAGAGGCGGCAGATGGGGGTCTTGGCGTAGCTGCTGGAGCTCTGTCTTCTCAGGGGCCCTCTGCCCTGGGTCCTCTCCTGCGGAGGCCTGGGGGAAGCGGGGGAGTGGGAAAGGACCTCGCAGCGGGGCCTGGGGACACGGGTGGGGAGGCCAGGTGACCCCCTTTATCCAGGAGCGGGTGTGGCAGGCTGCGTGCTCCTCCCACCCACCTTTCCTCTCGTTCCTTTGAGAGGCCTGGGGGTCCCTGGGGGGCAGGCCGGGGCTGTGAGTGTGGGGCGTCTCTGGCCAGCCGGGCCCCTCTCCCGGTAGCCTGCCTGCTCTGCGATCACGGCCGTGAGATGCGTGGTGGCCAAGGCCTTTCTCTCTGTCCGTCGGCCACCAGGACTTCCGACTCAGTCCTGAGGCCCGTCCTTGCTCACCCCCAGTGGGACACCTCGCTTCCCCCTTGTGTTCTCGAGGTGCCGCCCTCCGTGTGGACTGGTGGGGCTGCTGGGCTGGCGTCCGGCGGGCTGGCGTCCGGCGGGCTGGCCTCGAAGGTCCGGACGCCCCCTCCGCTCGGTTTAGTGAGGGGCAGAGGGAGGTGCAGCCGCACAGCCGCGCGGGGCCTCAGTTCGGCCCTGTTGGTTCTCGGTTCTGGGAGGGCCGGCCTTGGACTCCCCACCTGGTTCAGCCCTGGCCTCGGCTTCCTTGGGGGAGGCACCCTGGGGGAGACCCCGCAGCCCCTGCGCAGCCCACGGCTTTGCTGGCTTTGCTGGCTTGGCTTTGCTGCCGGGTGCAGTGAGGCAATGTGGACGAAACACTTTGGGGTCGTTCGTGTCGGCCTTGTAGAGATCGGGATGTTTTTGGCAGCTGGGAGGGAAGTCTTTTGCCCCTCTGCACATCTGGAAACTCCCCACGTGGGAATGGAGGGTCTCCCAGGGGACCCCTCTGCCTTGGGGAGTGAGGGTGGGGTGGAGCTGCAGGCAGGCGGCGGGCCCTGGGGGCCAGCTGGTCATGGTTTCTTTGTACCTTTAGGGGCCGAGGATGCTCTGGACAGCAGCCTGAGAGCCCACGGGGGCCACGCCGCCAAGCACGCACCCGAGAGGCGACCCGCGCCTGTTCGGAGGAAGAGAAGCATCGGTGAGCTGGGGGCTGGCTGCCGCGGGGCCTCAGGCAGCCTTTTCTCCCTCCTGCAGACAAAGGCCCGGCCCGCTCAGGGGCCCCTCCCTCCCACAGGGGTGTCTCCTTGCCCCAGCCGGCCCGGCCCTGCGAGAGCCCCTGGAGAGGGAGCCGTCATAAATTCCTTAAGTGCCTGTCTTGTTGGGGCCTGCTCTCCAGGAGGCCCCGCTGGGAGACGCGGTGTTTTCGTTTCCAGCTCGCCTGTGGAGTGCTGGGTGCTCCTGGCTGCGAGCCGCGGCCGGGTGCAGCCCTGCAGAGCCCGGCGGGCTGCTCACAGAGGCCCCGCCCCAAGCCCCCTCCCCATCGGACTGAGCTCCCAGGGCTCCACCTCAGAGGGGTTTGGGGATGTTGGTGCTTGTCGCTCTGGCGGAGCCGCCCAGGTCTGCCAGCTGGTGGGGCTCTCGGGGGGCTCTGCGCCTTCTTGCTCCTGGGGGCCCAGTTGGGAATGCGGCCCATCCAGCCCTCGCTTCCTGTGGTGCTGCCTGCAAGCCCCGACCGTGACCCCGGGCAGGTGGCTTTAGTTTCCTCTGAGAAGATGGGCCGGCGGGCAGCTGTGTGTGTCCTCCCCTGCCGACCTACCCTGTGTCTGTACTGGTCACTCCTTCAGCCAGTCTGGCAGGGCAGGTGCTGCCCCAGGGCCAACCCTCCGCAAGTCCTGTGCTGCTCTGTTGGGAGAGGGAGCAGCCTTGACACAATAGGGGCCTCTCCCTGGCGGGTGCTGGGCAGGGTGCAGCAGGGCAGCCCCCTCCCTCGGTGGGACAGCCCGGCCACCAGCATCCAGACCTCTCAGTTTGGCAGCTTGTTCCTGGGGGTGCAGTGTCTCCGCTGGGTCTCCTGGGGCTCTTGGGAGGGTGTTCTGCCCCCGCATGGACCGGATGGGCCGCGCCAGCCGACCCCCTCCCTGGCACTGGGACGAAGGCCGAGTGTCTGGCCCTTTAGCTGTGTCTCCAGCTCCTCTGGTGTGCGGAGGCTGGGGCCTCACTTCGGGCCTCGGCGTAAGAGCAACTGGGGGTGAGCATGTGGGCAGTGGTGGGCCCTCCATGCCCAGGGGAGGGTCCTCCCAGCTCTGGCTCTGGGGTCCCGGGGCCCCTGAGCGTTGCTGGGGCAGCAGCTTCGGTGGAGGTCCTAGAGCCTGCTGGCCGGGCCCCCTGGGGGCGTTCAGAGCAGCAGGGCGTCCTGGTCGGCCAGTCCCCAGGCAGCCGGATACCTGGTGCCCAGCTGGGCCTGGAGGCTGTGCCCCGGGGTCCGGGGTGGACTTCCCTGTCGATCCCGCCCCGGTGTCCGTAAGGAGGTGAGGGCTTCTGGCCGGACGCCTTGACCTGTGCTGAGGATCCCAGCAGAGACGAGCCACTTCCTCCTTGGAGGGGCCCTGGCAGCCTGTGGGTGGCCTCACCGTGGTCACAAGGCCGCCTTTCAGGAGCAGGTCTCAGGCCTCGGGGGTGGGGTGTCTGGGCGTGGCTTGTCCGCTGTGAGCCCCTCCCCCCAGAGCCCTGTGGCCGCTCCCCTGCTGCGGTCACCGTGGAGCGATGGCCAGGTCCCCCTGGGCGTAGGCCCTGGAGCCGGCGACCTGATCCCGTGTGGGCCTGTCCCTGCCTGGGGTGGGCCTGGGCCGGGGGACACAGCCCGTGCAGGGTTGGGTCCTCTCTGTTTGCCCTGCTGTCCAGGCTCTTGGCCTCAGTTTCCCTGCTCACCCACACCTCTGCCGGCCCCACCTGCCAGTCAGCCTGTCTCTGTCTGTCCCCAGCTGCGCTCTCCCTACCCTCCAGGGGTGCATGGGGCCTCCCTTCTGTTGGCCCCAGTGTCACGTGGTCCCCTTGCCTGGCCGCGTCCTTCCCCTGCAGTCCCCGTCCTGGGTCATGAGCTCCTGCTCTTCCTGGGACACCTTGGTGGCATCCTGGGGCGGGGGGGTGGGAGGGGCCTGGGGCTGCCTGACACCCGGTCGGTCGCACTGGGGAAAGCAGGGGGTAGGCGTGGCCTCCACACTCACTAAGGCTCTTCTCTCTGCAGAGGAAGCTGTCCCTGCTGTCTGCAAGACCAGGACGGTCATTTATGAGATACCTCGTAGCCAGGTGGACCCCACCTCTGCCAACTTTCTGATCTGGCCCCCGTGCGTGGAGGTGAAACGCTGTACCGGCTGCTGCAACACCAGCAGCGTCAAGTGTCAGCCGTCCCGTGTGCACCACCGCAGCGTCAAGGTGAGCCCGCTCCCCGGGCAGGGCTAGGGAGGGGTGGGGCTCGCGGGGGATGTGGGCGGGGTGAGCGCTGAGGCTGTGGGCGTGGCGGCTGCCGACCGTGGGCGGGGTGTGCGGCTGGGGGCGGGGCGAACGCGGGGGCGGGGCGGGGCGCGTGTGGGGTTCCTCGCCACCCCACACAGCGTTGAAAGACACTGTTCTCACAGGCATCTCGGTGGCGGCGGTGGTGCTCGGCAGGTGGGGTCGGGGTCCCTTCAGCCCGCATTGCCCCCGGAGCTTCTCCCTAGAGCGCCAGAGGCAGGAAGGCGGTGCCCCTGGGCGCACTGCAGGCGATCCCCTTTCTTTGGCACGGGTGCGTGGCGGAGGGTTTCTCCGGGAGGGTCCTTCCCCGGGCCCCGCCCCTTATTTCAGGGTGGATTGGTGGCTGGGGCCCACTGCCCTCCCGGCTCACCACTTGTGCCCACCTGGAGCCTGAGGCCTCCTCCTCTTCCTCAGGCCATCGGTGACCTCCAGGGCAGCACTGGGTGGGGTGGGGGCGACACAGGAAGTAACACAGGAGTCCCTTGCTCTCCCCACCAGAGTCCTCGGGGAACATTCTGCTTCTTTGGATCGTTCTAAGCGGCCAGACTGGGGCTGGCTTTTGGCCCAGTGGCTGGAAGATCCTGTCGCAGTCTGGGCCCCTCCCCCGGCCCCGCTCTGCCTCACTCACCTCATCTGTGAAATGGGTCTGAAGCACAGCGGCAGGGTGTGGGGGCTGTGAAGCTCCATGGGGAGCCTGGGGAAGGGCCTTCCCTTTGGGCAGGGAGGGCTTCTGTGCCTGGACGTCAGTCCCCGACCAGCCCTTTGCAGAGGGTCAGGGCTGGAGCGAGGCCCTGGGGTGTCTCCTGGCCTCTCGGAAGTGAGGCTGAGGCTTTGGGGCCAGCGGCTCCCCTTCTAGGTCCTGGGTGGGCTAGGACCCTGGGGTGTGGGTCAGTACGTGTTCCTCCCTGCCCCCCTCAGAGCCTCACTGGCCGTGGAGCCGTCTGCCGGGGTGGGGGGGCGGTTGCAGATGTCACCCTGGGGACATTCGAGCTCCTTCCTCGGCTACACATTGTCGTCACCCTTGCTTGGTGCCGCCAGCAGCCCCGCCCCTCGAGGTCTGCCCTGGCCGCCGCGGGAGGTGCAGGGAGGAAGATTTTCTCAGTGGAGCACCACGTGGCCGCCGGGCCACAGTCACGCAAGAAGGCCCTTCAGACCCGTGACTGGGACTGGACCTTGGGGTGTGGTCCCTGCCGTGTCTGGGAGCTGAGTGAGCACATTCCGCGGCCCATCGCCCCAGGGTCTGGGCACGACGGACACGTGAGGTGCTGGTTGGGGGCCTGGCCCCCCTCCGGGGCGGCCTGCCTCAGGCCTGCAGACACCAGCGGCAGGCCCCCCTGTCCCGGCACTGGGGTAGCCAGCCCCCACCACTCTCCCGTTGTTAAAAGGGGACACTGAGGGGCAAGCCCTGGGCTTCCCAAACTGGCCCTGCCTTCCCGGTCTCCACTCTGTGGCCAGCTCCGTCCCCTCGGGGCCTTGTTGTCCTCACCTGGGGTAGTTGGGGGGCTTATTTGCCCCAGGAATCTGGGTACAGTAGGTCTTTTTCTCCGGGGCACTGGCCGGTGGGTGCTGCAGATGACATGGGCCCACTTGTCGGTCCTAGGGCCTCTGCGGTGGAGGCTTGGAGGTATGGGGGTGCTGGGATGAAGTGGGCTCCAGCCTCCAGGGACACGCCCTGTTCCCACTCTTGCTTCTCGTGCTGGGAGGACCAGGGGTGCCTGGCCCTAGATGGGGTGTGGCCTGCCTCTGTCTGCCGGTCGCTCTGAGCAGGTGGATGGCGTGGTCCTAGCTGTGCAGTGGGAGGGCAGGCCCCTTCCACATCCAGGAAGGGTGCACCTCCACCCGGGGTGCGGGTCCCGTAGGCTCTGGGCAGGGGGCGGAGCTGGGCCAGGGCTTCCCCTGGTGGGGAAGGCCTTCATCTGCCCAGACGGGGTCACGGTCAGTCCCAGGGGGGCAGAGGAGCTCCCTGCTGCATCTGGAGCCCAGATGGCCTGGGTCCACGCCCGCACCCCACCTTGCCTGGGCTTGGCCCCTTCCTCCTCTTGCCTGCCCACCCGCCAGAGGGCTGCCAGGACAACATCCGGCCCCTACCCCGGGGTTCTGACAGAGAGAGGATGAAAGGTCAGTGGGAACAGGAGGCCCATTGTGGGGGCCAGCCGGCCTGGCCAGGAGGCCGGCCGCTCCCGCTCCCTCTGGGGTTGAGGCAGAGCAGGCGCGAGCGCCTGGGTGGGTGCTGGGTGCTGGGCAGGTGGAAGTCCTGGCCGTGGACAGCAGCTCTCTGGTGTTCTGGGTTGTCTGGCCTTTCCATTCACAAAGGCTTCTTAGACAAGGAGGCAAATGCAGGCTGGGCGTGGTCCCCCTGTCGAGGCCCAAGAGGGCGAACTGTCCAGCATTCACTCGGCCGAGGCTCTGCCCAGCAGCCCCCAGGCCTGGTGCCTGGGTGTGCTGGGGCCATTGGCGACCCTGCCCCATCTCCACATTTCCCTGAAGTCGTGGGTGTGGGGCCTAGGGCGGGCTCACCCGCCCTGGCACCAGCCCCTCTTCCCCCACGGCAGCTTGGTGGGAGCATCTGGAGGCAGGTCCCCTGCATAGCCGTGTGCGGCTGCCCCCAGAGGCGGGCTGGGGTCCTGGGGTCAGCGTTTCTGAGCCGGGCTTGCTGTCCGCTCACCTACTGGCCTCCCCGGGCCGACGGCCAGACTGCCAGCCTCTTGGCCTGTCTCCCGGGCCCAGGGGTTGGGCTTAGGGTGGTGGTGGCCATGGCTCCAGTGGCGTCCCCAGCAGCTCAGGCCCACTGGCCCCATGCCGGCGGCCTGCCGTGGGGCCAGGGTGAAGGAGCCGCTGTAAGCGCCGTCTCCTGTGTGAGGAGCCGCGGAATCTGCGGCTCGGGCTTCTGTTTGTGTGCGGGCTGCCTGTGGGTGTGAGAGAGGCCCGTCCATGGGTGAGCTGGGGCTGTCCCAGGTCTCCGGAAGCCAGGACCCGGCTCTGCTCTGCTGGACTTCTGGGGGGCAGGCCCATGGCTCCCCCCCGGGGCCCGGGACTGACGTCTGCAGCCTGTGGGTGGAGTTAGGGGGCATCTCCCACGGCTGTATGGGGCCCAGTGAAGGGCCTGCGAGGGAGAACGCCCTGGGCTGAGGGTCTCAAGTAAGGGCCTCCAGCCCCCTCCTCAGCCTCGGGGGTGCCCTGTGCTTACGTGGGGAGAGTCCAGCGGTCGGGGGGCCAACACGTTGGCCGTGGGACGTTGGGCGTGGCCTCCAGGGACCCTGCTCATCGGGCCTCAGGCCCAGGAGCCTGGGGTCACTGTTCTTGGGGTCTTGTTGGCCTCTCACCGGGTGGGGGCAGGAGGGCTCCCCACTCCGTCTGCTAAACCAGGGGAGGTCGTCTGCCCAGCCCTGGGGTGGGCTTCAGTGGTGGGGGCTGCTGGCCGGGTTGGGGGGACGCCCAGGAAATGCTGAGTCTGGAGCAGTGGGCCCCGCGCGACCCCCAGGGGACGGACTTCCCCGGCTTAGGAGGTCCCTGGCTCCGGGCGAGCTCAGGGCCCCTGCTGTTTCCAGGACCAGCCTCCGCCCAGCGAACGAAGCAGCCTTGTCAGCTGCCTCGGTGTCCTCGTCTGTGAAGTGGGCGCACTCGAGTCCTGGCACCTCGGCAGGCGGCTGGGGCTCAGGCCTCCTGCGCCCGGTGTCCCTCTCTGGAGAGGGTGATGTCACCTCTGGGCTCTTGGGTGACGTGCCTATGGTTGACGACACAGGCACCCTCAGTAGTGGGGAGTCGGGGTGCCTGTTTTATGAGGTGCAGCCCAGACACGGAAAGTTGGGGGGAGGGACATGGGGACCCCACTTGGGCTGCTGTGTGGGTCTGGAGGCAGAGGCTTCGGGAACGGGGTCCCACTCCGTGGGCCTGGCTGAGTGGGGAGGACACTTCTGAGCGGTTCGTGCCCATAGCGTGTTCTCGGGGTGGCAGTGCAGCCGCTTCCCGCCTAGACAAGGGCGGGGGACGTGCTGCAGCCCTCGCAGACCCGGAAGCAGGTGCATCGTAAATCTGCTGGTTTTTCTGTGATAAAAGGGGGCCATTTGAAGGGGGAGGGGCTTCCCGGCCTGGGCGGCCAGCTCTGTGTGCAATGTGCCAAGGGGACCGAGGGGACCGGGCAAGGAGGTGCTTCTGGACCACCCGCCCCTCACGTTGCGGGGGGAAGGGGCCTCCCTCTGCCCGGGAGTCCGGGGTCTCTGTGAGCCGGGTCCCGGCAGCCTCGGCACGGAGGGTGGATGGACCGTCAGTTGACGTGGCTGAGTGGCCCAGCTGGCCCGTGGGCTGGACCCCTGGTCGCTGCGTGCAGGGCTGAGCCATCTCCTCTGGCTTCTGGATGCCTGGCCTCTGCAGGACCCTGGGGAAGGTCCCGTCCTCTTCCTCTCTCCCCAAGTGTCCCGGGTCGGGGTCTTTTGTCCTGGGCCCCCTGCCAGCTTGGGCAGAAACCCCCGTCTTCTCATGATCGGGGTGAAACCTGTGGCCTCTGCCCCGTTTCCACCTCGGTTTCCCCAGGTGAGCAGTGAGGGGATGGAGTGGGCACCCTGAGGGCTGGTCCCTGGGCCCCCGTGGGGTAGCCCGGCCCTGGATGCGTCTGCCGTGCACCTGGCTCTGTGGGTGTGGGCCCTCGTGGACGGGACCCCGGGGGCGGCAGGGAGTGGCTGGGATAGTTGGCCCCTGATGCCTGTTGCAGGTTTCCTTGTCCACAAATAGGGCGGGGGCCCGGGGGCCGGGCACCCTCGAGTGCGCACGGGCGGCACTTTAAGTCTGTGGAGCCGTGTGCGTGCACCCGTGTGAGGCCGAGGTCCTGTGACCGGGCATGTGCATGTGACCACGTGTGCACGCCCACGGGGAGGTGTTTCTCAGGACAAGCAGGCCGGCCCCTTGGGGTTGTGGGGATCGGGCTCCTAGCTGCCCCTGAGCTTGGGCCCCGGGGCCATTTCTTCCTGAAGCACCCCCAGTGGGGGAGGCCTGCCGTGTGGTTCTGTGCCGAGAGTTTGCAGCCAGTGAGGCTGCCGACAGGCGCTGGTGGAGCTGCCCCGACCGGAGAGGCACCAGCTGACCGGGCCCTGGGGTAGCCCCGGGTCTCTGCCCACATTTCCTCCACGTGCGGGGAGACCTGAGGCCCAGCGGCCGCAAGAAGCCCTCGCGCCTGGGGCCGAGGCCGTGGGGTAGCCTGGCCCAGCGCCTGGCGGAGTCTGGGGGCTCATTGTGGGCAGGAGCCTGTTTCTGGGTCCCACGGGCAGGAGAGAGGTGATGCCCGAGTTGCGGCCCTGTCCCTGGAATAAGCAAGTACGCCTGGACAGCGATGCCCGACGCCCCAGAGGCCCCTAGACAGAACCAAACACCTTCCCTCCTGCCTCCCGCCCGCCTCCTCCCACCTCCAAGGGCTCCCACCTTGGAGCACATTCTTTAGGACTCCTGCACAAAGGTGGGGGTGACTTTCAGGTAAAATGGGGCCGGAGCGCACTGGCTTCAGAAGCCCGTTCTGCACCCCACACTCGGGCCTCCCACTGGGAGGAGGTCGGGGTTGGCTCCCTGCTGGCCCGCTGGGGCCTGGCACTCACGGCCGCGTCTGTTGTCTCGGGCAGGTGGCCAAGGTGGAGTACGTCAGGAAGAAGCCAAAGTTGAAAGAAGTCCAGGTGCGGCTGGAGGAGCACCTGGAGTGCACGTGCATGCCGACCGGCCCGAACCCGGACTACCGAGAGGAGGAGACAGGTCGGCAGCCCCCGAGGGTCCTCCCTCGGCTGGACCCTCCCCCGAGGGTCCTTCCTCGCCACGGCCTGGCTCTGGGGCCGTGGGGACGTGGGTGCAGTGGGCAGCGGGGTCTGGGGCTGCTGCCCTCGGGCCAGTCGGCTGCTTGCTGACCGGCCGGCACGCCCCGCGGACCTGCTGGGGCGAGTCCTGCCACCAAGGATGGCGGTGGGGCAGTGGGCCGGGCTGTGCAGCTCTGGCAGGGGCGGTTCCGGCTGCGGTGAGGAGGGCGGCAGCCTGCGCTTCAACCCCCCAGCCCCCACCACGGTGGGAAGGCGGGTGCTGGACCACTGGCCACTGGCCAGCAGGCGTCCGGCCTCCCCCTGCGGACCGACTGCCCTGAAGCAGTGCCGGCACCAGGGCCAGCCCGCGGGGACCAGGAGGTGCCCCTGCCAGTGCTAATGGAGTTAGTTCTCTTGCAGCGAGACAGACAAGCAGCTCAGGTGTGCTGCTCGGTGCCCACCTGCCAGCCCTGCCTTAGGCCCGCTCACCCTCCCTGCCCTTCTGTTAACAGGAAGGCGCAGGGAGTCAGGTAAAAAGCGGAAAAGAAAGAGGTTAAAACCCACCTAACCAGCCAACCAGGTAGGAGCGGTCTCTGGGCGGCCGCGTCCTGCGTGGGGGGTGGGGGCGCTGTGACCGATCACAGGGCGAATGACCCGGCGAGGATGCGGCCGTGATTGGCCTTGATTGCTCTGCGGGCTTCTGCTGTCTGGCTGGGCTGTGGGTCCCCGCTCCCGCCCCCGACTCCTCTGCACCCCGCCGCGCAGAAGCCTGGTCCGCGGCCCTCCTGCCCCAGAGGCCCTGCTCTGGCTTTGGTCTTCTTGTTGATTGAGGGGGAAAGGGGCGTCCCGTGAGTGGAGTGACTGGGGTGTCCTGGGCAGCAGTGGGGTCGGCTGGAGCAGGTCGCCCACCCCCTTTGACAGATGAAAATACTGAGGCCTGTAGAGATTTCGGTTTAGGGATATCAGAGGCTGAGCAGATCCCGTACAGAAATGCTCGGTGAGCACCCAGAGCCAGTGACTCAGGTGAAGTTCGTGACTCACAGACAGACAGACCGCAGCGAGTGTGGCCGCCCGGGGTGTCAGGGACTCCTGTGCTCAGGGCTGGTGCTGTCTGTCTGCGGAGGTGCCTCATGGCCTGGAGTGTGTGCTCACCCTCCAGAAATCACGCCCACACTCAGGCTAGAAGGAAGAGTGAGGGGGGAAGACGGGCGAAACAACCCTCTCGGAGAAGCCCGCCCAGTGACTTCCGCCCTGACCGCTCGGCCGCCCCGCAGCTGCGTGGGGGCCTGGGGAGCCCAGTCTGCCGGAGAGCCACGCTGTGTTTCCCCGGAGAGAGAGGGCCCTGGGCAGCCCCAGCAGCGTGCAGGAGGCAGCTACAGGCCTCTCTGGGTCCTTGGGCTTGGCCCGTCTGGCTCTGGAGAAGCTGTTCGTGCCTCTGGGCACGCGGGAGCCTGCGGCATCCAAAACAAACAGTGGCGAGAACTCTCGGAGACAGGTGTCGGGGAGAGCCGGGCCTCGGCTGGCAGCGTGACGGCAGGGCGCGGCTGGGCCCGGAGCTCCGGAGGCCTGGGGTTGGGTGCACTTGTGGGGCGTCTCTGGGGCCGGAGGGCCCACGTGGGTGGCCCGAGGGTGCGGTGCGGGGGTGCCGTCCATGCACGTGGACTCCGGCCTGCACTGGCTGCCTGACGGCAGAGACCCCGAAGGGAGAGGCTGCAGTGTCTGTTCCCTGCCGGCGGGCTGGCCCTGGGCATGTGGGTGGCACCAGTGTCCGAATGGCCAGCAGGTGGGCGACAGAGGGCGGGTCTCTCAGCTCGGGGCTCAGTGTCCATCTGCCTGGTCACAGAGAGCCCCGGCCAGCTGTGTGCATCCTCGGGTTTGTCTCGTGGCCCAGCATGGCTGCCAGGTCTGCAGGCTGTGCACCGAGTCCGAGGCTGGAAGGAGGAGGGAGGCCCGGCTTGCTCCGTGGTCCTGTCCCGTCCTGAGGCCTCGGAGCCCCGGCCCCGGTCCGGACGGCAGAGGCGTGGCGACGCGCCCCGTGGGGTGTGAGACGCTGAACGAGACCCCAGCTCCTGGGACGGACACGGGGGGTGTGTGTGCGTGTGCACGCGCGTGTGGTGTGCGCGCACCCACCCTCAGCGCCTGTCTCTCTGCCCCCTCCCCCCGCAGATGTGAGGTGAGGACGAGCCGGCAGCCCTTGCCCGGGGCGCGGACGTACGCGGCGTCACACTCCTGACCTGCGATGCACGGTGCTCATCGCCAGCGCGCGGTCTTTGTTCTCCTCCGTGAAAACTGTCTCCACGCACACTCGGGAGAACAAAGAGACAGTGTACGTTTGTTCAGTGTGACATCAAAGCAAGTATTGTAGCACTCGTGGGACCGCGAGACGCTTCCTTGTCGAGGAGCGTGCACGCGCGCAGAACCACAGGCCACGGCCAGCGGGACCGGCTCACGAAACGACCCGGACGGTCGATGGCGGGGACGGAGGCGTGCCCGTGGGTGGGAGCGACGGACGCCGCAGCGGATGGACTTCTGCCCGGGGCGGTCACAGGTGCTCTCGCCGAGGACACGGACCAGCCCGCGCTTTCTGGAAGACGACTGACCGGTGCCCGGCCCCGCGGGGCGTGCGGGGGCCCGAGGGTCTCGGACACGCCCCGGGACTTCAGAAACCACACCTCCTGCTGTCGCGTGTCGGTCTGTCGGAGCCTTCCCGAGAGCCTTAAGTGGGTTTTTTTTTTACACCATAAAGTGATTATTAAGCTTTCCTTTTTACTCTTCGCCTAGCTTTTTTTTTTTTTTTTTTTTAAATTATCTCTCGGATGACATCGACGCCGATGGCACCAGGCTGCTGTGGCAGTCAGGCAGTGAGACGGGATCCCCCCCGCAGGATGCGAATGAATGAGATGTATTAAAATAAACATGGTATACCCACCTATGCATCATTTCCTAAATGTTTCCGGCTTTCCGTGCTTCCCCCCGGCCCCACCTGAGTCTGCTCTTGCATCGAAGCCGTTTCGAGAGGACTGTGCGTGACCCAATCAGAGGCCATCCCGTCTCCTGTCCCTGGAGCTCCCGGCGGGGCTGCGGCGCGGCTGTGGGGTGGCTCGTGCTGCGGCGGCGGCGTGCGGACGCGACCCAAATTCTTTATTTTTGGTAAGATGTTACGCGTTAACGTGTACTCGACAAATGTGTGTGTGTTGTTTTTTGTTTTGTAAAGGTGAAGTTTGTATTTTTATCTAATATTACCAGTTTTATATACCTGAGAGCCTGCTATGTTTTTTCTTCCTTTTTTTTTTGGAACCAAAAGGGAAAAGGAGCCACCAGCACAACCCGTCCACGAGAAACACGTTTTGGGGTCGCGTTTTTCCAGTCGCGTCACTGAGTCTCAGCTCTGCCCCGGCCGTGGCCCTCGGCGCGGCCGCTGGGGCTGCTGGGGGGTCTCGGAGGTGGCAGCCTCCCGGGCCGGCGGTGCGCCCCGGCTGGCCCGTCCACCGGGGCCTGTGGGACTTGCACCCGATGGGACTCGTACTGGCCGCCTGGCCGTTGGGTGTAGCCGTGCAGAGACAGAGGCCGTGCACCCTGCCAGGCAGCCACGTGGATGGGGGGGGGTGTTAATCCAGAAGCAGGTCGACCTCTCTGTCCCGCCCTCGGCCACACGGCCCGTGGGGCTGTGAAGACGTCACAGAGTCGGCCTCCGAGTCGGCAGAGGTTTCGACGAATCCCTGTGGCTCACGCCTGGTGTGGTTCTCCGTCCAGCACCTCGGGAGCTTGGGGGAGGGAGGGGTGGGCAGGGTGGCCGCACCCCAGGCCTTTGCCGTTCGCCTCAGGCTGCCGTTCGCCAGACTGTGCCTGGCGCGTCTGCCCCTGTCGCTGGGGGTTGGCTTCCGGGACGCACCGGGAATGCCGCTCGGGGGTCCGTTTCCGTGGGGAACGCCGCTGGGCGAGTGGCCTGCCCGTCGAAGTGACGAGCCAGGAAGGCCATGCGTGCCCCTGGGGAAGAGAGAGCCGCCAGGGGAGTCGGGGCGCCACGGCGTTGCTGGGGCGGCCGGTGACCGTGGGGACCGGGGCTGCCAGCTGGCCTCCTGCGGGACGCCCTGCGTGGCCCGCACACTTCGCTTGCATCCCTGGTCTCCCCCTGGGCCACCGCCCGGGGCCGCACCTGGGTGAGGCCGGGCCTCATCTCGGGGCAGAGTGAGGGTCGGCCGTGCTGAGTGCAGAAGGGGGGGGGCCCTGCTGGGGTCTCAGGGTCGTCTGCCTCCTCGTGCAGACGTGTCCCAGCTGCCCCAGCATGTCCTCGTTTCCACCGTTCTGGGCTCCGCATCGGGGAAGCTGGGGGTGGCAACCTGTCCACCCGCACACCTGCCTGGACACCTGTGGCCACCTGGCCACACCCCTCCTTGCCTCAGGTGGGAGGTCTGGGCTCCAGGTGATGGGGGCGCCCTGTGGTGTGGGCCTCTCCCCATCTGTCCAGGCCTCGGTGTCCGGTCTGGGAGGCGGCTGTCCTGCCTGGCCACCAGGTGCTGCGTGTCTCACCCTGCCGCCACCGGCCCAGGCCGGGCTCAGACGGCCTCTGGGTGCGCTTGGCCCCGGTCCCTCCGACCTCATTCTGGAGACAGGCAGCTGTGCCTGTGGCAGGCCCGTGACGCTCACAGAGGGGCCCTGAGCAGAGGAGCAGTGACGGGGGACACTGAGTCCCTGGGAGGCGGATGCAGCCACGTGGTCCTTCGGTCCCGCACGGCCTTGGTGTCCCCGGGGAGGAGCTGGCCAGCTGGGAGGTACCCCTGGCCGGGCGGGTCTGCACCCACTCAGTGACGACGCATCACCAATCCCAGCGGTTCGGTGCCCCCACAGCTTGTTCTGTTCTGCAGCGACCAAGAGCTTGGCTGGAAAGGAGCAGTGAAGGGGAAGGGGCCAGGCAGGGCCCTGCCAGGGGGGCACAGCGGCCGGGCGGGATGCCGTGGGCCCTGCCCCCACCTCCCTGGACGTGCCCAGGCCCTGCACGGTGGCCGCCCCACCTGCATGCTGTTGCCCACAGCCCCCTGCCCCACAGCTGGCCCCACAGCTGCCCTGAGAGTGGAGCCGGGAAGTGGGGTGGGCCCTGCCAGCTGGAGGCCTGACCTCCTGCCAGCCTCGTGATCCCAGGTGGGGGGGCCCTGCCCACGGGGGTGCAGGTGGAGCCTGGGGGGGGCGTTGTCCTGGAGGGCCCCCAGCTGGAGAGCAGAGCCAGCCCTCCAGCCCCACAGCTGGGGCAGCCCAGGCGGCTGCGGGCGTGGCTCCGCCCTGCCCTGGACCACCCAGCGCTGTAGCCTTGGGCATCTGTCCATGGGACCTTGGGTATCTCACATGACCTTGGATGACCTTGCCGTGTGACCTTGGCGGGTGAGCCTTTTCTCTGCTCTCAGAAACCGTCGCCGGCGCTGGCAGCGGTGCTGGGAAGGTGTCTCGGGCCCCCGCCCACCGCACCCCTGCGACACGTGGGGTGAGGACGGGGCCGCCCCTCAGACAGGAGCGTGGGCCGCGGGCTGAAGCCGGACCCCGGGGCCGCCGGCCTCACGCCCAGCCGTTTGCCCACCTCGAGCAGCTTCTCTGGCTCGGAGGGCAGTGGGGGACCCCTCCTCCATCACTCTCCGCCCCCCCCCGCCACACTGCCCGGCTGAGCTGAGGGGTGGGCCAGGCTGCCTCCCCACCCCCTCGGAGGTCTGGGCCTCCTGGGCCCTGGGAGGCAGGGCTGGGGCTGAGGCTCCTCGGGTCCCTGAGAGGGGTCTCTGAGGGGGCAGCAGGAAGTTCTGCTAAGAGCCTGGGTCCTGGGGGCCGGGACCTGCGAGTGGTCCTGCTGTGCTGACAGAGGCACTGGGCTGGGGCCCAGGACCCGGCCTGGCCTCCGAGGTGGTGGCAGTAAGCAGGACCTGGCTTGCCACCCCACATGTCACCCCACATTCCCCACTGCCACTGGCAGCCTGGGCTGGAATCCGCCCCCACTCCCTGAGGGGCCTGGGACGCAAAGCCTGCGGTTGCTGCAGAATAAAACTGTGGCTGTTTCCAGCCAGGCCCTAGAGCTGCCAAAAAATGTGGAGTATTCACCGTCCAGCCCCCGGCCTGTGGGTCAGCAGGCAGCATTCCTGGGAGGACACCCCCCCCCCCGCCACGCACCAGACAGGCGCGTGGCAGCGCCCCTTCTGGCCCCCAAGGTCCTTTCTGCCACCTGGCCCTGCACTGCCCAGGAGGCCCTTTGCGGCCCTGGTGTGCGGGGCAGACAGACAGAAACACCTCTGCCCTGCAAGTTCCCCCCAGCAGCCTCCAGGCTGGGGACACATGGCCGGCTCCGGGCCTGGGGGCTCCACTGAGGGGCCGTGACCCTGCCTGCCCAGCACCCCTCCATGGGGCTCAGGCTGTGAGCACCCCCCTTTCCCTGGGGGGCTCCAGGCCCTCAAGAACACCTGGTCAGACCTCTGGCCCACCTGACAGGAGCACACAGCTGGGGGGAAGGGGGCGGTGGGGGGCCCGGGGCGGGGAGGCTGGGCTCTGCCACACCGCCCCGTGCGCTGCTGGTCTCCCAGGCCGTGCGTGGGCCTGGCTGGGTGTCATCCCGTGGCAGCTGGGCGTGGATCTGCGGGACCACGGGCTCCTGCCCTAGTGTGTGAGGGTGGGCCTCTGCGGGGGCTGCTGGGGACAGGCGCAGGGACCCTGGCCTGGTCAGCGGCTCCGGGGTCTTTCCTGTCCCCGGTCAGGGCCCTCGTGGGGAGCGGCCGGGCAGGTGTCCCCTGGAGAACAAAGCCCCGCACCCGAAGCCTCCATCGTCGGCCGAGGTTTCCTTGAGCTCCCGGGGAGGGAGGGGCTCCGGGCCCTGCCGCAGCTGCGCTTCCGGACAGAAAGAGGCGGCGGCGGACTTGCCCGGACCTGTGCCCCCGGGAGCGGCTGCACCTGGGCTGCCGTCTGCAGCTCCTCAGCCTGGGTCTGCCTGTCGCGGGCGCCCGTGACCTCGGCCTGACCTCAGAGGCCCTTCCCCACAGTTTTCTGGCCCCGGCGGGGCTCTCCACACTGCCCCCCATCACAGCCCGGCGGCACCACCGCCCCCTGCTCTTCTCCGGAACCTCAGCTGTGCTCACGCGAGCGGCAACGCTGGGCTGGCCTCAGGGCTACTCCGGCCTCGGGGAGGGCAGACCCTGAGTGTCCACGGGGCCAGGGTCCCCCTTCCCTCCTCTGCGAGGGGCCTGACCCGTGGGGTCAGGCCGCAGGAGGCCAGAGAGGCCAGAACCCCGTGCAGGGGACGACTGCAGGGCAGGCGACCCGGCGCTGAACGGCGCCGACCAGACCCTTTCCTGAGGCTCTGGTATAAAGTTCCGGCTCTCACGCTGGGGCGCGACGCGGGGGTGATGCCGTTCTCTCTCCCTCGGGTGTCCAGCTGTCCCTGTTTTGAAAGAAGGCCTCTCCCACCAACGGTGTGGGCACCAGCTGGCCGGAGCAGAAGGGCTCGCTCCTGGACACAGTCTGCCCGCCCCGTCCATCAGCCCTCGGACCGGGGCTGCCGTGGCCCCGTGACTGCCCTGTGGGGCGAGGTCAGGCTCGGGGGCCCGCACCTCCCAGCTCCTGTCATCCTGGTCAGCTCCGTGCCGGTTATTTGGGCTCCCGTCCTTCTCTCTGCACCCGAGGGCCTGCTGCTCGGCCTCTGCAGACAGGGCAGCGGGGACTGCGAGCCGGACTGCGCCGGGTCCGTGGGTCCGTCGGGGGGCGGCCGCCTGGCTGCTCCGCCCCCGACCCGTGCGCACAGGGCTGCTTGCGCTTACTCAGGGTCTTCGGATTCTTTCAGTGACGTTTCTGCCACGGCCAGCGCCAAGCCTTACAGTTCCTTTGTTAAATCCATTTCTGAGTAGTTCCTTCTCGCCGGTGCCGTCGTAAACGGGACCCTTCTCAGCTGTGGGGCTGCTCAGCACTCGTGCGTGGTCTTCCGAGAGCAACGGCTCCACGCCTCGTGCCTCGGCCCCGCGCCGACAGACCCGTGTGTCTGCCGCACCGCCGTGTGAGGGACTTCCCTTCGGTTCCCACTTTGTTGAGTGGTTTCTCATTTTGGTTTGTTTTTTAACCACGAAACAGACAGGGTTGGGTTTTTGTCAAATGCCTTTCCCGCATCAACTGAGATGATCATACTTTTTTTCTTTATTAATATAGTATGTAATATATCGATCGATTTTTGTCTATTGAACTGGCCTTGCATCCCTGGGATAAATCCCTCCTGGTCCTGGGTCTAATTATTACTTTTTACGTG